ATTATAATAAGATACTTTGTGTTTTTTGTTACAAGGAATAAAAAGGTTTTTATATTTATTTTATATATACTACATATACTACATGAATATGTTCTCCTACTCATTTGACATCAGATAATATAAAGATTATATAAAATATGTAATCTTTATCTTGAATGACACCTCGTGACAAATATGTCATGCAATAATGGATATGTGTCCGCGATTACAAGCTTCGATCCGTAGGATTATATACGCCAGCACCGAAATCTGGGACTATTTCCCAACGACAGAGGAATTTCTACTATGCATAGAGGTAAAAGATGGATCTTTAATAATAGCAATCTTCGGAATGATCTACGGCTTAGCCGGACTGGTCCTAGTTTTGTCCATCGTTATAAATTATACAGAATGGAAAACCTTGTATGAGAAGAAACAAGATTTATTGCTCTACCTTGTACTTGTATGTTCACTCATTTCTATGTTTCTATTTACAAGTTTCATCCTCCTTATTGGCAGTTTGAGAATGTATGAAGTGCTGGTGAAATTATTTCTCTGGCTCACCTTGATTCATGTGGTTTTTAACTGTTCCATCAATTTTGGGATGTGTGCTTTATGTATAACGAAGCAATCGTGCTTTCAAACCTCTGTGCCGGGAATGGTGGTTGTGCTACTGGTGATAACAGCAGCGTATTCTATGTTTTGGTTTTATATTTTGATGGTTGTAAATAGTTTTAGATTGGAATGTCGATAAACTTTAACTGTTTAATGATTTTCTTGGTCTTTGATTTACAAAAGCGGATATGTTTTTAAACAACAGCCGTCGTCAGTGTAAATGTGTACATACATATAAGAATGTGATTTTTATTGTACATTTAAGGTTAAGTAAATGAAAGCTTTGGTCTGCTGGCGATTCTCATCCCTGTGGTAGTTCGACTGGGTACCAATGGACTTTCTTTCTATGTGCGCATTTAACATTCGCTCGAACGGTGAAGGAAAACATCGAGAGGAAACCAGCTTGCATTAGACCGAATAAGACGCCGTGTGTCAGGCACAGGAAGCTGATCACCTACTTGCCTATTAGATTGACAAAAAAGATCATGAAACAGATACAGAATTCTGAGGCCCAGACCTAAAACCTTTTTTAAATGAAGATTTATATTTATGGTTTTATGAATGAACACTATATTAGGTAACTCTAACAATTATTATTTGCCAACGCAGTATCACTACCCAGTTCAAGCCAAAAGTTGTGCAAATTTGATTTAGTATCCCGTACCTGATAGTGGAATTAAATTCCCAATTGGCTGATCCCTCAGGTAATTAATCATCCCGACGTAGTCTAACTTAGCGTTGCGCAGGGAACAAATTATGATTCGCACAATGAGGATATAAGCCTGCATTATTGAGATAGTCTTATTAGGGAATATTCGCAAATATCAGGATTTCAATTTGACAGACACTATTTACTTGATGTTAAGGTAACTTTTTTAGTCCCGGCCGCACGGGGTACATTTACTTTTTAAAAAAATTTGTAGATATTAATATGTTCTTTAATATTGTGGAACATTTTTGTTCTATCATCAATAGTTTTCGCAGCGCTTGCGATGAAACATATTTTATAAGCATTTTTTTTACACATTGGGTAAGATTATTGTAGTTTTAGTAAAAAAAATAAAATCAATCAGTAGCGCTTCAACCTCTTTAGCCACAGGTTTCTGAATCTGTTTCATGATCATTTTTAAATCGGATAGGCAAGTAGGTGATCAGCCTCCAGTGCCTGACACACGACGTCGACTTTTTTGGGTCTAAGACATGGCTGTTTCCTCACGATGTTTTCCTTCACCGTTCGAGCAAATGTTAAATGCGCACATAGAAAGTCCATTGGTGCACAGCCGGGGATCGAACCTACGACCTCAGGTATGAGAGTCGCACGCTGAAACCAATAGGCCAACACTGCTCATTTTTAGTTAGGATCCTTATTTTTGCAATTAAAATAGCCCATATTAATCAGTGATAAAGTAGCATTCAAATGGTGGAAGAGTTTTTAAAATCGGTCCAGTACTTTTTGAGCCAATTCGTTACAAACATACTTACATACAAATCTTTTCTCCTTACAATTATTAGTGTATTATACATTTATGAACGTCAATAAAATAAAATGTAAATTTTCATTTACTGCCAGTTTTCAAACCAAGATTCTTTCCACCACGATTTGTAAGCGCCAACTATTGGTTTTACAAGATGCTTTTAAGGGGCTCCCATCACCGGTGCACTTGACATTCTGTAGCTTATTAATTATAATAATAAAAAGAAATCATGTTTATTACTCATCAGAACAATCAAATTTACAAATTTCTTAACCTACATAGTAATAATAAAAATAATTAAAAATTCATCAAAAGAAAATCAAAACAAATTTAAAAAGTTTGGTCCCTGTGGCAGTGTACCTTTAACGCTGGCGGCATTTCCTCGCTGTATTGCGATACTAATTCCTTGAGCGAGGAATGCACTAGCTCTGGGGTCACCAGTACTATCTACCAGGCGCCAACTTAAATCTTTAATTAGCGCCAGTGCAGTTGAACCCCACGGCCCAAGAGTTCTACTCCAAAAGGAACAAAATCTAAGTTGGTTGAACTCTTATATTTAAGCCGTGTATTATTTTCCGCCTGCGGCCGCCCCAGCAGGAATAACCCAGACCACAAATTTCTGCATCATCTTCATTTAAAGGTACTAAAAACAATTTTGCACTGATTTTTTTAACAAATAAATTGATTTTATTAGTGTATGCATAATTAAAATTATAATAACGCTCTTAAAAGTTCCAATCTCAATGAGGCAACATACTTAAAAAGGTTTATTATTATAAATAAAGTTCAGATGTTTTTTATGTATAATCTAAATAGTATATAGTCCGTGGGAGTAGTCTGCCCAAATATATCTTAATAACGATTAATAAATAAATCTAAGTGAACGCGTAGGCAAAAGCCTGTAGAAAAGCTATGAGCAGAGAGACAATGCTGAGAACTTTGTTTTGGTGTTGTTTTATCAATTATTTTATTCAAAGGTGCATTCCAAACCGATTTCTCTTATTCTCTACAAATAGAGAAGGCGGCTTAAACTATTTAAAGTTGTGAATGTACAAGTAAATATAATATTATTTATGTGTACATTCACTTCAGGCCATTGTAGAGGAATTCGTGGGGTTGTTAGGCACTTAGTTACGTCTCCTCACATATAAAGGGTTAATCAGAACCGAGAACGCTAAGACGAACTCAAGTAGATTTTTATGTAAATATATAGAAGCAATAAAATTAAAGTGTAAATATATATAAATTATTCATAAATAGGAAATAGTATTTAATAATGTTATTACTCATATTTGTGTTGTCTATGATGTCTTAAAACTAACAATCGAATTTCAACAATTTTTTTTAGGTGGTAATTCAAAATTAACTTAATTATTATTTTCACCGATCAATCTCCTTCGTGCCTTCTCCATCTACACGACACTGGCGAAGTACCTTGTGCCCAGTTGGCACAAATAAAAGTCATTAACAAGAATTTAATTGAATTAAATTATCATTTTATCTGTCACTAATCTAAAAGAGGAAACGCGTGGAATTTTTATGTCATATTTTAATAACTAAATTTTTTGCAAGGATACATTTGTACCAAGATTATATTGTACCGTCTTTATAGACTCCTTACACCCATTACTTATAAATTTAAACACTATTAATAAGCCACGAAGGCAACAAATGTTGAAAATAATACAATATGTAAAAGAAACGTGATAAGTCCATGGCGGCACGATTTAAAAATATTTTCCTTGATGAGGTGAGTCCAAGACTGAATGAGATTCCTCGAGAGGTCGTAACAATTTTATGAATGCAAAATTCCAAACGTTGAGAATGCTTTATTAAAATAACTTTATTTTAATTAAAGTTTTTATTTCTTTGTTCGAATACAAAATATACAATGCAAAATGTTTTTATTTTTCATTTATTTTTGAAATTTTTTTGGGGCACATTTAGTTCATGAAAATTATTTGAGTTACCGGATTTTTATATTAATAATAATAATAAAGCCTTTTATTTCCAGAAAAATGATACATAATATACATGATTAAGGTAAACAATTAGGTACTGGTATATAGTGTCATTTTATACATACATATTATGTCTTGCAATTCCGCGTGCCTTTTGGCATAGGCCTCCTCCAGCTCTCTCCATTGTATTATATCCTCTGCGACTCTGGCCAAGTATGGTCCCAAAGTCAGGCTGATGTCGTCTTTCCAGCGTGATTTCGGGCAACCCTGACGTCTAGTCCCGTCTCTTGGGTACCATAGACTCACTTGTTTGCTCCACTTATTTGCTTTGCATCTTAGCATATGTATGTATGCATCTTATATTTTTTTAATAGTTCCTCTTATTATATTATTATCTATTTAATAATGATAATAATAATCTTTTCTTTATTTCTTCTCTCACATATACATACAAGGTTATTATGATTAAACTAAGATGATGACATTAGGAAGTGTATGTGAGAGACTGGTCTCTGTAATGAATTGGCATTCTGATAAACAATAAACTACAAGCTCCCACCTTTTCAGAATGCCAAATCATAAAATGACTGCTTCACGATTGATTTGAGAGCGACAGCCGATGCGAAAACCGCTGTGTGAGTTCGAAAAGTGAGTTACAGAATCGCAGGGCAGGTCCGGTGGTGGAGAGGCTGGCTATATTTTGTCACTCAGGTCTCCAGGTCTACATTGCAAACGGAGTCGTAAGAATAAATTTTTGTGTGTGTGTGTGTATTTGTTAGGTTTTCTTCTATTTGGCATACAATATTATTTCATTACTGTTTCTACAGGACACCAAATAATTAGGTTAAATAAAGGTGTTTTATAGTACAGAAAATGTAACGACAGAATCTTATATTTAAATAAAATGCCGTTAAATGAAAACGTTTATTCACAAAAGATGAAAAGATTTCAAATACATTTCACAAATATGTCATGAAGATTGCAAAAGCTTTTTGTAAGAGAAAATTATTAACACGTCGTGGCAAATGACGGCTGGAAAAAAAATCGTTAAGGCGTTAAATAAACTCGAAGAAATTACTATTTCTATATATAATTTAAGCAGTATCTAATAATGGATTTGACCAGAATGGCCTAGTGGCTCTAACCAGGGGTATCTTTCTCTCTCATCCTGAGATCGTTCTTTCGATCCCGGCTGTTCATCAATGGACTTTCTATGTGCGCATTTAACACAAGTATGGTAAAGAAAAACATAGTGAGGAACCGGCTTGCGTTAGATCAAAAGAGTCGACGGCGTGTGCCGTGGCGGCGTGGAAGGCTGATCACCTATTTGCGTTTTAAAAAAAACAAATGATTACGAATCAAATACGGAACTAAAACCTGTAGCACTACTGGTTTTGTTTCAATTGTGGATTATCGGAGTACCTCAGCTCATGCGCTGTGTTAATGTGAATTATAATGGTGGATGGTAACTTGTGGTGGTCGGACTTGAATTCGTGTATGCGGTGATGTTAATTATTTCGACTATGTGTTTGCGTGTTGTTCCCACGAGAACGTAAATGCGTGCTCCTATTTTACCATGCCTCCTGCTGATAGAGGACAAATCTTTGGTTTTAATTTATTTTATTATTATTAATTAACTACTATTTACTTAAGATGTCATATGGACCATGGTGTAATGGTTGGGGATAACTTGGCGATCAAAAAGAGTGGCGGAGAGTTTATTGCCAGTTCTTTTCCGTTCTACGCCCTTAATTTGAGATTTGGCAGTAAATTTTAAATTAGAAGCATTTAATAAGTGTACATCGTGTTACCTATATAAATTAATGATTTTGATTTATAAAAAAGTCAAAAAGACGACAGGATTATACAAAATTTAAACCATACCCGTCGAAAAGACGGAGAGAAATATTAAAATTAATTTTACACACAATTACAATAAGACATAGTGCAGGTTTCCTCACGATGTTTGCCTTTACCGCACTAGCGAGTGCGCACTTGAAAGACAAATCGATTGAATCATAAACGCACCTCAAACCGACACGAATCAAGATAATTAATTGCCAGTACTATATATTTATTAAATACACCAATAAACACCATAGCACTATTTATTTGCGCCACACGATATCGTTATGCTACGATTGGTTCAATTAAGCTCATAACGAACATTAGATGTCTATGAGAAAGAAGAAATGAGATTTCCGGTTATTAGCTAAGTATAGCCACATCTATTATGTTCCACAGCTTATCATAGTTCTGTCATGTGTAGGGATGGTTTGTAGTACTGTGTACCAATGGCGTGGCACCATACTGAATATATAACTTGATAAAATGAGTTACTTACTACACAAAGATATAGCCAATAAACCAAATATAACAGCGAGCATAAAGTGTGCAGTATAGTGACCAGTGCGTATGAAATAAATTCCCCCTGTGATGCCTAAAACCGTGTTGTAAGAGGCAAGGAGTAGACACAGCCATAGAGCCACTTCCAACGCCCATGCTTTCTCCTGCAAAAGATATAATAATATATATAACTAGCGGATCCAACAGACGTTGTCCTGTACAGACATCTTACATACCAAAATATACATCTAATAATGTAAATCATTCTCGACTCCACTTGAACACGAAAAAATTTCGTCAAAATCTGTCCAGCCGTTTAGGAGTTAAATTACGATCACATGCACATAAGGTTTCTATATATATATATATAAATAACATAGATACCGACTGCAGCACCATCTGCCAGGCTGGTTTGTAAATCTAAACCATCATCATCACATAAATTATACAAAAAAATTCATTCAAGTCCAGCCGTTTAAGAGGAGTTCAGTGACATACACACGTACAGTACAATTATATATATATACATAAAACACTAGTATGTAGTGTTCAGGTAATCTATGTACTTGGAAAATTTAATCTGTGAATTCTTCGAATGCAAAGTAATAAATTTTGATTTATTTGTTTTAATATATACCGTTAATTATTTATTCAACCATATGTAATCGAGGTAAAGCTTTGGACGGATTACCAATGTTCATTAAAATAAAAGCTATATTCAATTTATCATAACTTTTTTCTGTTCACGCTGTTTTTATTAAAATACTATGACTTATAAAAAAATCAGTGGCGTTACAACCTTTTTAGTTCTGGGCCTCAAATTTCTGTATCTGCTTCATGATAATTTGGTAATCTAATAGGCAAGTAGGTGATCGGCCTCCTGTGCCTGACACACACCGTCGACTTTTTGGGTCTAAGGCTAGCCGGTTTCCTCACGATGTTTTTCTTCACCGTTCGAGCGAATGTTAAATGTGCACATAGACCGAAATCCATTGATGCACAGCCGGAGATCGAACCTACAAAGCTACTCGGCCAACACTGCTCAAAGCTAATAATATAATATTATTAATAATCTATCTTCTCAGGTCAGTAATAATATTAATTCAAGTATTTTCTTTGATATTAATTCAATCTACCACTCTACCAGACTCAGACTAACACGCCTATATACGTATAGTCTGTCTCACTCTAACACGTACCGGCTGTACCGGCCGCGCTTACGCTACGTCACCGATCTCGTCAGCAAGATGTGAATACGCAGTATGCGTTCTGTCCCACTCTATCGCGAATTGGCGGCACCTATATTACGCCATCATGTGTTACATTTTTATTTTCGTTACGGAATTTCTTGATTCGGTTGGTGAAAGCCCGCGATAAAATCTATGCAATAGCTTAATAATAATATAAAATAGAAATACTCACCTCCAACGCTCCTAGAAATAGCAAAACGCCATTTAATATCAGCGGTGGTATGATTGCCAGTATCATAATTTGTATTATGTCTGACATAGACCCCTTACTGTTCGCTGCCACCAGGAAATATAGAATTATGTAGCAAATTGTGGAAACCTGTGAAAAAATTTACCTTGACGTCATACCGGGCTACATTGTATAGTTACTTTCAAATTATGGTTAATAATCTCCGAGGTGTATAAGGTTTGATTTTTGTACTACTGTTTCATTTATATTCCAGAGATAAACTCACAAAATGCATATAGATATGTAGCCAAATTCGATTTCGATTCTTCGACAGCGGTCATTCCAATAGACACTGTGCACGGTAACAACTCTCACCCACATTCTTAAATACAAAGCGTATTTTGCGTACAAACAGCCATTCACATACCCATACATTCACTCATAAGATCGTATACGAATTTCGTTTGGTTAGATGTAACCGTAGAAGCTTTATTATAATAATTAATATTATGTTTCGTAACTGTTTACTTTAGCTCAGTATCGATTCATGATCCTCGTACACTGATGCACATGCATAGATTTATATCGTTAGATTAGCCCCGACACCAAAAACTGTGGCATTGTTTTTGAATGTGTGCGTTAACAAAATGCCACACGCACACTAACGAGTAGTTAAAAAATCGTGTTTCTGCCATTGTACATATCTGTTGTTATTATCTATGTACTGAGAAAATAGTGTCATCTCTTTTTCTCCTACAGTAGTTGCAAACACTACTTTCTCTTTCGTGCACTCGCCATTTAAATTTGTTATTTAGACAGTGCGGAAGGAAAAATAAAAGTTTTTAAATCAAATCGCAATACTTACGAGTGAAATGTTACACCTCTGGCTTTATTTGTGTTTCTAGAATTGTTGTTGCACTTTAGAAAGGCACACGATGGCATTTTGTGACACTAAACTGCTCGCTAACGTCCTTTACAACACGTCCGGCTAACACTGTGTTTAGGGGTGCACTGATCCCAGGTTAGTGAGCTCACTCACTTCGACTGTGGATTGTGGAACAACACGGCGCGGTCTCACTGCGGTAAGGGCCTATCTAACGATATAAATCTATGTGCACATGGGCCCAAATGAACACAGTTTTTTTATGGTTATGTTATCTTTTAGAAATTGTTATTAGTATTATTATTTAATTGTACTTTAAAACACATCGCGACTGATAGGCAATGAAACAATCAACAACTTTACTTTTTAAAGATTTAGTTCAAGAGTTTTTTAAACATCCACATGTATAAAATACATACAAATACTTCAAGTCGACTATTATATTTAATATCGACTTTAACTTGCCAGGATGTTTTTTCTTTATTAAAATCATACTACACTTATAACTTCTATATTTAATGTAATTTCTTCTTAAAATGATAAGAGGTATTTTGCGTTTAAATTATATAGTTTAAGTTTACGAAAACGTTACGATAAATAATTACAAATATCCACGAACGTGTTTTTAGCTAACTAAATTTGGAAATACAAATTTAAATTATTTATAAAGCAATTTGGAATGATTTACGAAAATACACAGGTGTACTAGATAATCACATAATGGTTAATTACACGTTAATCTAACGACACGCTCGCTGAATTTAAATCGGTATACAATATAGCTAATTGAGAACTGCGAAAACTGAGATCATATGAATTGAATCCTGGGTATATTACTTTTTATGTCTGCAATCAGCACTTGTACTTGACCACTGTGTGTCAAAACAAAAGGCCTATTTGTCTAAAGAAGTTTTTTCAAATAGGGATGCAAAGATATTTTTAGCCAATTTGTTTTTTGAAGAAGTTTTTCTTACTGAGGGTAAATTTTTAAGGATTAAACGCAATAATAATAGTATTAGCGTCACGAAGATGTGCAGCGTTTTTATCGAAGAAAAGGGAGAGAGTGACTTAGACCGATTGAGAGAGAGTGAGCAAGGGCGAACGTCGCATCACGCACAGTGCCATGGAGCGAGAGGTGGGAGAGAGCTAAAGGGAGAAAGATTGAGAGAGAGAGTAAGGAAGATCGAGAAAAAATACTCCCTATTGGTTGATGTATTCGTTTAGTAGTTACATATTAGAACTTTAGATTGCAATTCTGTCGCATAACGTCTTGTGCAGTAAACGCAGATTTTTTATTTATTTATATTATCATAAGCACGTACACAGAGTGTAAACAATGTGAATATAGATGTACAAATACATGGAGTGATAATATACTCGTACATGATCATCTATTGGGGCTTTACCTTAGTAATAATTAATTTAAAAAGAAGTTTCACTTCTGACATGTGTACTTTGTACGCACCTATAATATAACAGTAATAGCTTATTAATTTCCTTACAAGTTTTATCCATCCTATACATATAACAGCATCCCGGAGCGCACGTCGTCTGAACGAGAGTTCGTCTAGATCTGCTGGCCTTAAATCGGCACAAACTATCATTTTTCATTTTACAATCCTTACTTGAAATTTATTTACGAAATTATTGACATTTTGTATGTCAATTTTGAACGAATGTTTAATGACAGATGGTGACCGGTCAACGAATTCCTAAGATGTGTTCACCTATGTGTAACAAGATCTCCTTAGAAATGTTTACCTATTCATAAAATCTAACTATTCATAAAATCTTACTCAGTCCTAGACTTAACAGTACGGAAAAAGTCTTGTTGAGAGTAATCCGTATAAAACGGGGTATTCAAAAGCGTTATATATTAATTCATGTAAATCCATAATCATAATTTTCATACATGTCACAGATTAGCGGAACGACAATGATGTATATATAAAGTGACCATTTATTCTTTGACTCAAAACGGGACATTGGTTTATTTTAGGTCAAATAATAAGTAGTCCATGAAAAATAAAAAAGGGTGCGTGTACTTATGTACGCGCGTAATAAGTTATACTTTGGCATTATTAAAAATAGTTTTTGATTGCATGCAAATAATTAATTACAATGAAATAATCAAAGACTAGAAAATGAGTCATTATAGTCAATAAAGTTCAGTTTACATTTGAAATATTAAATAAATAAATATTTATTATTATTCTCTTACATTAAGTGTAACATAATTTCTATTATTATTCGAATGTTGTTTTTAAATTATGTCCAATGCCGTAGTATCTTCCGTGACCAACTTCATTCTGTTAATTTTGTGTCACGGTGCGCGCGCAACGTAAAATTTCACTCTCATCAATTTTTCATAACGCGCCTAACGAAGTACAACTTCAAAAAAATACTTTTTAAATTTATTTATTTACTTACACAGAGTTAGTTGGCTTAAAAGTTACGAATCTCATAATATTGGTAGCCAAAATTTTACCCTATATTTTTGTGAATATAATTGACACTAGGATTGTATAAGTCGTCATTAGTTTTTTGTGACAGATTTTGTTCTCTACTTATTTTGGTCAATAGAATAGATTTTTCGATAACTAATTGAATTGATCGAGTCCAGTGACCGTTGATTTTATCGTAGCTTTGATTAATCATTGAGATTTCTTCTATTACTTTTAAAAATCTGTTATTATTAATAATTTGTTATTATTTTAATATAATGAGAGATATATATTTAAAAAAAATCCCATTTCCCATTTGGACCAATAAGAGCAGAGCAAATGCCTGCTGCTTCGTGGGGTCAAAGCGCCATCTTGACTTTTGACATAGGGAACACAGCGCAGCTCTCTGAGTATTCAGTGGACCATTGTGATGATGAGAGGTTGGACCGAGTTGGGTCTGGTATATTGTGATTTAATATGAGATCGGTGCCTTGAACCTTGTGCTCATATATAATTTATTGTTGCTGAAGTGTTATTTGTAGTATTAAAAGGAATCAATCTAAATTAAATATTCTACGGTAATTATTCGTGTCTTATGTGTTTACCCACTTGACGCCCACTAAACCCGCTATGTCAATGTTGTTGGAGTGACGATATTTGTCCGACATATATTTTATTTATATATGTAAAATGAAGTTCATCGGCTAAGTGGAAGAGGTGAATTCCATTCAATATATACAAATTCAAGATACATGTACGATTTTGGTGATGTCAAGTATATGAATTTGAATCATGATTTTTAATGACAATTAAACGTAGATAGAGTATAGAACTAGATGAGCTTCTAAAATGACAATAATAACTAAAGAGAGAAGGCATTAACGTGAAATACTTAAGTGCGAGCGAAACAAAGTACCAGTTTTTCTGTCTCTATTTGCGTATCGGGTTTTATTTGTTTACCACCGAGCCCTTGGTGGTTGTTTGGTTTAAACAAGTTTTCACCGCTTACTGATAAATCTGTGAAACCCAAGTCAAACCCATATTTTAAGACTTTATCCTTATAAGAGGTGTATTTAAAGTGTCAGTCATGGTGAATTGTTGCATAATTGGCTGTAAAAGCTATAGTGAACGTAAAGAACCAAACATAACCTTTCATCGGTAAGTAACTTATTTTGTCACGACTCAGTAACTTTGTTCAAGAATTATTCATTCGAATGTGTATTTTGGTCAATAATAAGCAATCTTCAATGAAAAAATAAAAAAAAACTGTAAATAATAGAACTGTAAATACGACATATGTCAATCATTCGCTGTGTCACGCGCTGTACGCTGATGCCTGGTCTATACCATAGTCCGTCTACGCAATTAAATGAACAATAATGACAATTTTGATCTGGGAACGCTGCTAGTATCTTCGGAACCTTGCCTAAAGGAACTCATTTTAATAATATATTTTAGTTATTATATTTTAAGGTTAGAATGTACAATAAATAATATATAATGCAAAATATAATATAAAGGATAAGATAAATATATATATATATATATATAAAGGATTATCATCATGTTAAGACGGCTAAAAATGATCTTAGTAACAGAAACAATAATATACATTATACAATGTATATTATATAACATAAGTGCTAAATTGTTTGATGTGTTTTAAGGCATATGTTAGTTGACGTAATGTTGCCATTGTCTTATTAAATTAAACTAGTTTGTTAGAAGCATAAATTTAGTGACAAGTTACAAGCAAAGTTTGCAAGTTAATCATATAAGTCTCGTCTCTTGAGGTTCTGGCCGAGTTGACGTAAGACATCGCGCTGTAATCAAAGTTGTGAGATAGACGCCTTATCACGCTTTCATAGTCGTGATGTATCCTATATTATATTGAAATATGTTCTCTGTGAATCGATGGCCGCAATCTGTTAGTCGTTTTATTGTTGTGTGGTGTATCTATAATGACGGTTTACCTGATGGAAAGTGACAGACTGGCAAGCACGGCAAGAAAGGGTCCGAACAGTTCTTTTTAGTTACGTATTTTTTTAAATTTATTAAAAAAAACATTAAATGAGTTTTCACAAGATAACAAAGTGTATCATTATCTCTGCTCGCAGGCTCCCAAGGGAGCTCGGAAAGTAATTTTTTCAGGTACACTTGTAATTTTCGGGTCTGCCACTAATATAATTATATCTTAGTTTACGTTTCCGACCAAAGTTACCAATAATGTTATTAAAATATTCACTTGCCTCCTATTGCGGTTGTAGGACAACATTTACAGATACTTTTAATTTATATTTAATTTTAAAATGATATTTGTCAATCAAATCAAATCAAAATACGTTTCTTCAGTTTAAATGCGTCTTAGGGCATGCTTATGAATGTCAAAAACGTTTACAAAATTCGCGAAAGAGCAAGACTACTAAAAAATTTAAATCTGTTCTGTGATTTACCACATTCACCATTACACAATGGCTTAGTAATTAGTATACGAATTACAAACAATCTTTGCAAGTAACACTGTATTTGTTAGTTAGAAATTTTTTTGACCTTTATGAAAACGTCAATAGTATATCACTAGAAGCCATAAATTTAGCCACACACATAATGGATGTCGATGGTCTTAACATAACTATAAGTACCGTATATCCAAAGTGTTACCTTTTTGTCAAACATCCCATCTCTGGGTGTCTGACATTTCCATCTTAATGGTGCTGGACACATCTTAGATAAACAAAACAATAGTAGGTACTCCACAAAATATAGCCCATCGCCCATTAGAAAACGTTAAACAAACAGTTAGCATGTCATACTCATATATTTTTTTAATGACAATGTGCCTTAATTTCTGCACATAATAGCTTAAAGACACTATTAATGTTCTCAAATAAGGCAAGGCGGCAAATTTGGACACGGTCCAACGATGGTTGCCGTAATGGGTTAGCTGCAAATGTTTGGCAACGTATAGTGTGCAAAACCATAACAATCTTCGGGTATACGATGTAGCTAGATGATATGCTTGTGCGACGTAAGGATCTTTTAAAGTCATTTCGGAATTAAGGATGAAATTTGTAGCCAGCGCTGTCAAACGAATTCGTTTGAGACCGGACCGGTAAATTTGCGCGAACTTGGTCATTATATTTGCGGAGATAATATCTATTTAGATGTTGCAATGAAATTATGTCAAGGGAATTTTTTTATAAAATTTTGATAAATAACATATTTATTTGGATTAAGATTTACTACACTACTAAGATACTACACTAGACTTAAGGAATAGTTAACATAGTTAACATATAATATATGTTGTAGCGGAATTTTGGACAACACCAACTTTTCGGCAATAGATAGCGTTAACATCGTATTGATGGAAATGTAGGCGTTCGCTGTTTTCGATTTTCCGTCGTTAAGTTATTTCATGTGTCTGTGTCACAGAGTTTCTGAGAATCAGTTTTTTCTTAGATTATTGGATATTCAGGTCCACAAAAGTGACTTTTTACATCAAGACATCCTTGTTTTCGTCGTAAAATATCATAATATTTTGAGAGCTGGAGAGTTTGTTTGGTTGAAAATCGATTTATATATTAAATAGTGTACAAATAATATGATATGACTAATAACGTAACTGTAATGGCCAAATGGGATGTCGTTGATCCTTTGAGAGATGCTACTTGTGTGGACACGTTTACCCCGTCTCACCTCCCTCGGACAAAAAAGCTGGGGCGGCCGCAGAGCTAAAATATAAAAGTATTTCCTCCAACTTCGACTTTGTTCCCATTGGAGTAGAGACTCTTGGGCTGTGGGGTTCAAGTGCACAGGGACTTGTTAAAGTCTTAGGTTGGCGCCTGGTAGATAGTACCGGTGACACAAGAGCTGGTGCTTTCCTTGCTCAACGAGTAACGCAATACAACGAGGAACTACTGCCACTTTTAAATGTACACTACTACAGGGACCAATTTTTTTAAATCTGTTTTATTTTTATTTTTTTAAATTTTTATTCTTACTATAAAGGTTAGGAAAATTGTAAATACTGTATATTTGAATGTTGTATTTAGTTACATGAATAAATATATTTATTGCAACTTCTATTCTACCTTTTAAGACAAATTTGTGTGGCAGAATATGCCAACTTTAGATTGTACCACCATAACATTTTTGTA